ATAAGCCGTAATAGCATCTTACTGCCTTAGTAGAAGGAATTATATTTATTTAGTATTCAGCTATAAAAGGGCCTGGTGTGGGGGAGAAGAGTAAGAAATTGTCTGACTTGAGCATGGGGGTCAGTGGTGGGGAGTGGAAAGCAATGAGTAGAGAAGTAGAAAGACTCATATTGCATGAGGGGCCTTAGTGGCCTTACTAAGAGAAATGAACGGCCAAGAAAGATCTTTTGTCACCTAAAGGACATGACCAGCTTAAGAACCATCACTCAGATGGAACTTCAGAAGTGGAGCGAGACCATCGAGGGGCATAGTAATATGTTATTTTTGTAGTCTAGTCCTATGATTTTTCAAATTTTTGTATTCATTACATACCCTTGTCAACAATTTTGAATCTGTACTCCTCATGTAAGTTCATTATATTATATATGTATCCATTCCACAAACTATGTATGTGTTACTAAAGTGTATTTATTTTTTAAAATGAAAAGTAAGTCTGTATAAATGTTCTAATATTTTCTTCCGGAATATCAGCATATTGTTTTGGACACTTCAGTTGTGAGGCCAGAGGTGTAGGGCAAATACGAGAAGGGATAGTAAGGCTGAAAGAATCAGAGCAAAGGCACTAAAGAAGAAACGATAGTATTTGTGGGCTGATGAAATTATAGGAGACAGAGGAGAAGACAAATACTATAATGGTGAAGGTCAACACAGTTCTAGTATGGGAGATGTAGATAATGATCACTATGTTAGTGAGGTGGTAAATAGTAGCGAGAATAGGATTTAAGGAGAATGTAACGGCAAGTTTAAAGTTTTACATTGATCTGCCTGAAGATATTACAATACCATTTCCCTTTAGCAAGAATTTTTTTAAAGGAGGAAATACTGGTTTTATCTAATGTTGGTTTAAGACATTTATAGTATTTTGCTTTGCCTTCTATTTTGCAAATAGTATGTGCTCAGTAAATATTGAAGTGAACATTTAAAATTGTAGTGAGAGGGCCGGGGATGTAGCTCAGTGGTGCGGCACCTGCCTGGCAAGTGCCAAGTCCTGAGTTCAATCCCCAGTACCAATAAATAAATAAATAAACAAATAAACAAACAAACAAATAAACAAACTTATCATAAGACTTCATTAGAAGTTCCAGTTTTGTTTCTTCCTCCCCTATAGGGTACTTTAGGAGCTGTTTAAACAATATGTTTTGAGTTTTTTGAAAACTAATGTCCTTCAAAATATTGTTTTGCATTTTAAAAAGTTTAAGAATATAAAACCTAAGCTTGTATCACAGTGATTTTTCCTGGGATCCTTAAATACATTACTTTAAGATATAAAATATTTTGTGTAAACTGATTTATTTTCTGGTTAGTTTTTTTAATGTGATTTATTTTAATAGTCATAATTTTAGTCCATAAATTGGTTTGAGGACTCTCTTCATAGTGTGATTTGCTTTCATTTTTAACTATTATGTCAGATTCCAAGTCAGTAGTTAGCATAGGACTGCCAGTCAGATTTGGAGAGAATTATCAGTATTGTTTTGTGTACTAGGATTGTGTTGTGGAAGAAGCGTATTTATTGTGAGTACACAAAAACAAAAGAACAACTATAATTTGTTTGCTTAATTTGTAAATTGATTCAATTCAATTAATACTGAAAGAATGATAAGCAATATAAATCACCTACATATACCAAACATTTAATTAATGGACCTAACATTTGGATTGTAATTTGAGTTCCACTTATAAAAAAAAAATCTGATTTGAAGTTCAAAAGTAGAAGTAGCAAAAGGTCATATCCTTTTTATCTTCTTACCCTTTGTTGAGATCTTAGCTATATGTTATCTTATTAAAATTCTCATTCTCATAAGGCATACACTTTGAAGTTATAGAAAAAACTTAGAGACTCTTAAGTAATTCTTGGTTATAAGTTCTCAGTTTGTTCTCAGACTTAGCAGAAAATGTAGGCTTTTTGATATGACTGGTAATGTTACCTGGCTGTAAAAGTTTATTGCCAAGAAATGCTGTATAATTGTGTGGTTTTCCTGATTTCATTGGGCCATCAAACCACACTACAGTTGATAATTTCATTTGCTGAAGCAAAAGAAGTAATTTTAACACCAAAATAGTAATTATGTTTAGGTCCTATTTAGTCATACCTCTAGTCGCTCTCTTGGCTAATTTGTATGTTTTTATTATACTTTTAGTATGTCACTGAACATAGTGTTGTATGAACATATACTCATTTTTTCAGTTGGATACCTATCTGGGCAAGGTAGAATAAGAATTATATTTTACTGGTTATTGCTGCATATACTGTAAAATTATTTTCTTATGCTCAGTAGTCTGTAGAATCTGCATGATTTTAGGCATTCGTTTTTATTTCAGGATGATAGATCTCAATACATTAAAAGATCTTACCACGAACTAGTAGTTCATGCTACAGAGTAAATGCTAGGCAGTTGCAAACCTGGTGAATCTGGTATGTCAGATATTTACTTTCCTGCCAGAAATGCACTTTTATTTTTATGTAACTGAATAGTTAATGTGCAGATCTATTTAAAATGACAATTCTTTTACCGTTTTCTGCAGAGAGAGAATGGAATAGGCAATATTTTTTGAATGGTTTGCACTTTTAAATTTCCAAATTAGCAGTGTGTTTTTCCACTATTGTGATAAAATTGAGAACTTCCTGTGTTTCAGGCTCTGTCCTAACACTTCTGTACCCAGTTTTCAGCTATCATGTCAGTGTGTTTTCCCATTTTATGGATCAAAAAACAGAGATCAAACTTAATCATAGGTAATGCAGCTAGGCCTTACATGGAAGTCAGATGCCCTTAATTCTAAATCAGGGTTCTTAACATTTTCATTATTAGCTCTCAATTTTTTTTTTTGGTACCGGGGATCGAACTCGAGACCTTGCACTTGCAAGGCAGGCGGAAGAACCACTGAGCTAAATTCCCGTCCCCAGCTCTCAAATTTGATTGTACCTGATGCACTTAGGAGCTGTACCAAAAGCAAAAGAGGGAAGGACCTTAAAATTAGAAAAAATTTAAGAAGAAAAACTGTTTAAATATAATTTTCACATTGTTGAGTGAATGATCAGTTTTGCTCCTTATCCAACTCACATCTATCTTTCAACTCTAGGAAACCATCGGTAAAACTAGGAGAAATAGTGTGTTAGGCTTGATGACATAGTAAGAAATACAGCACAAAAGACTGTAACTGGCCAAGATGACTTTTCTTACATGTAGTAGTTCCTTGACATTTAACATAGTAACAGCCCTGCAGATGGCCTAAAAAACTTATTACAAGCATCACACGTGTTTTAGGCTGATTCTGCATGCTGTGTAGGCTGTGCTTTGTTCAGTAGTAACCTCCGTGAAGGTGTTTCATGCCATGTTTACTTACTTGCATTCTTGATCATACGTGTTTCCTTTGTACAGCTTGTTGGCTGTTTAGATGGTAAAATGAGGTCAGATTGTACTTTTGGTATTACAACAGAGTTCAAATCCTCATACTTAAAGATTTTCCCCAGCCTTTCTGGTCTAGCCCTGCTTAGAGACAGCAAATTCTGAGCTCTATTCGGGGTAATGATGCCTTACATCATTCCATTCTAAGAGAAGTCATCATATTTCCCTTTCTTCTTCCTATTCGTTTCAGCAGATACAGAGTAAATGTTAGGAATGTAAGAAAATCCTCAAATCTGAATAGTGTATGAAGAAACCCAATTTTATTATTTAATTCCTTCCAAGAAACTGTTTTATGTATTATGTAGGAAACTTATAATAGTGATAAACTATGTGATTTTCTAATTTTCCCAATGTCTTATTTTTCAGACAATGATTTCCTAGCTTGATATACAGCCATATTCAAATATAAGCAAAGATTTGCATTTGTATGACTAACATAGATACTCTTTGAATCTTCACAAAATAAAGCATTAGTGTGCATTAGGGGTCTACTTTCTAAATGTATATTATACCTTATGATGATAAAAAATGTTCCTATTGTTCAGTTTCCATTCTGTATTTAAACTAAAGCAATTTACCAAAATTACAACATAATTACGATATTAATGCCATCTTTCAAAATAGATGACAATAATACATCTCAATTGGTCATGTACTTTGTATTTTAGTAGTGGGGATTGGCTTGCATTAAGTCAGAATTTGTTTAAATGGGACTATTGTATTTATACAGATATGTTAGTGACTTTACAACTTGGCATCTTAAGATGATAATGACACATTTTGCTGGGCTTGAATTTCCAAAATCCTTTGCCAGATAGGAAAGGGAGAAGTTGCATATAGATTTTATAGCTTTTCATGAATAGACCATTTTCTTTTTGATGAAAAAATATGAGGAAAATACATTAAGTAGAGATGTTTTTGGATTTATGTCTGATAATAACTAAAATGCAAACTGAAAAGGCTCTTTTCTAGATATTTAAAAGCAAAATTCTGGGGGAAAATTGTCTTTTTATGATAGGCAGGTGGAAGAAGACATGTTATAAACCTATTTTTTCCCTTGCATACATGTTATTCATGGTTTTGGTAAAAGTATCATTTCTACTGATGTAATGATTATTTCACATGCTAAATTTTTAGTTAAATTGACTGGACAGTGTGAAAACACATAGACAACACTGTATTATAATAATTTGTAATTCTTCTTTATGAGTTATACATATTAGCCCACTCATTCACATTCTTGAAATGCATAATAAATAACGTACTTGTTTTCAGTATTACAGCTCTACTTTTTTCAAATCATAGTTTTCTGGACCAAAATATCCTCCTTTTATGTTGTCTAGTACTGCAGATTACTGTTGCATTTAAAAAAATGTACTACACAAAGATGTTAGAAGTAGCTTTGTAACAGAAGAGGCTCTGTGGTGGAAGAAAAGGGGTAGTAGTAGAAAAACTGTGCAAAAGGTTGTTTGGAAATCGAGTTTAATTTAAAAGAGCTTTCAATCTCTAGTTAATATAACTGCTTTAAATTTACAGACAGTGGGAGTAGCTCACCGTTACCCAAGTATGCTTCATCTCCCAAACCAAACAACAGCTACATGTTCAAACGGGAACCCCCAGAGGGATGTGAGCGAGTGAAGGTCTTTGAGGAAATGGCGTAAGTAATGTCTTTTCTATCAGCTGGGATCTGCAAAGCTGTTAAGCTTTTTACTGAGACCAGTTGATTATAGAGAATCAACTACTCTATCCAGCTGATAGTGTGTTTCAAAAGCAAATTATGAATAGGGAATTCCATAGGCAAAAGAGATCTTACAGAAGGAAAATTGAAGTTTGTGGGCTGGAAATGTACAAACTAATAGAAAGAGACTTGAAAATTCATCCTTCCTACCTAAAAAATGTCTTTTTCATTTTAAGAATTTTACTTTCAAAAACCCTGTTAATTTCTATGGCTGACAAGAAGACATCTAGGAGCAAAGTTAATACCCGACTAGCCTATAGACAGTGCTAGGCAGAAAGAAGGTCTCTCCTTCCCTAATGACACATTTGCTTGTCTATTCAGAGATTGGGATTTCTGTTCATGGATTTTTTTCTTTTTGAAATTGCAATATATATAAGAAATGTATCCTGTAAGCCCTGGGCAGAATGCTCAGAGGAAGAAGACTGTGTGACTCTTGGACTCACTCATCCCTTTGTCTCAGTGCAGGTGCCTGATGGAGGCTGCTGTGCTCTTGAAACCTAGAAGGGAACAAGGGCCAGTCTTGCAGGAGTTTGTGGCGTAGGTTTAGGATGGGAGGAAAGGACGGGCTTGTGGACCCTCCTCTGTTGGGCTGAGTGACTCTTCGAGAGACCATTGAAACTCCCCTCACCCCACATCTATGGGGAGTCGCAGAAAGGGGAGAGTGCTTAAAATCAAATATATGATGAGTAATACCCCTCTATATGCTGCTTCATAACAGAAAAGTCATTCTAACCTTGCATAATCTTCAGCTATAATATAGATTTTTCTACATTCCTAAATGATTGGAAGTGAACTAGTGATTTCTATAAAAATTTGTGTGCCTAATCCTTTTGAAAACCATTTGTCTCAAATACCACTTCAGTGCTGTGTACATGAGTATTCTTGCCAGCTGACTTGTGCTATGGAAGATGTTTACCCGTATGTGTACACTGAACCCATCCCTTGCCATTCACATTTTACCAGCTTTAGAGAGCTCTCCTCCCCCCACCCCCACCCCCCCTTTTTTTTTCCAGAAAGTGCTTAACTTTTTCATGACTGAAACCTAATTTTGTTTTATGATTTTAGGTCTCGTCAGCCTATCTCGGCCCCTCTCTTTTCATGTCCTGACAAAAACAAGGTTAATTTCATCCCAACCGGATCAGCTTTCTGTCCTGTGAAACTTCTAGGCCCTCTCTTACCCGCCTCTGACCTGATGCTCAAGAACTCTCCTAACTCTGGCCAGAGCTCAGCACTGTCAACTCTGACCGTTGAGCAGCTCTCATCCCGGGTTTCCTTCGCGTCTCTGTCTGATGATACCAGCACAGCAGGCTCCATAGAGGCCTCTGTCCAGCAGCCATCCCAGCAACAGCAGCTCCTGCAGGAACTGCAGGGTGAGGAGCACATCTCTGCTCAGAACTATGTTGTCATCTAAAGCAGGGGGGGAGCTGGCCTCCACCCCATGTTCTAAGGACTGGGAACAAGATCTCAGACATCTATCTGCATGGAGTGACAAACTTTCTGAGTACCACCACGGACAACAAAATACTTATCAGCATCATAAAGTATCTCTTAACACTGATCTTTGGCAGGGACGGAACTCCCATCCAGCAGTTTTTGTGGAAAGCAGTAATGCTTGCAAAATGTACGTGTCATTCAGCATTTTGAGTGGAGACTATGCATTTCATAGTATGTTTGAGAGATTAGTACTGTGTCCTGTGTTTTGTTCCAAATTCTTCAGTATAAATAAGCTCTAATATCAAAAAGTTGCCTGTCTAAGTAGAAAATGTCTTGCTGTGTTTTGTCCTATGGAAAATACTGTACTTCAGAATTATGTTTACAATCGATCCAGGTGTTTGTTTCTAATTTCTGTAATACATACAATGCAAAAAAAAAATGGCCACAACAGTTGCACAGTGCCCACCCTATGGCCTAGCTTCAGGTACTTCAGTTGAAGTCTAACTCAGGTAATTTGGAATGTATATCATATTGGGATATTAAATATTTCACAGCTACAAAGCTAAAGAGGGAACATCACTCTTTTGCCTTTTCTTATTTTGTGCATTTCCCTTTCCTCATTACATTCCATATTCTTAGAATAAGAAGTGCATTCAACCCTAGGTGAATGATAGCCCTGGACATGGGTGAACTTGAGGAGAACCGGCAGTCTGTGGTGTGTGACATCACTTTCGCCATGTGGTTACGAGTCAAACAGCTGTTGCATTCCCTGTTTCAACACATGTAAATGTGGCATTTTTAAAAGTTCAGGCGTTCAGTTAATGACTGTTACAAGGATGCAAATGAAGTGTTCAGTACTAGATTGTACATAAAACATTCCACATCATGTGTGATGAAATTTAAAAACAAGAATGTCTAGGTTTAATTTCAAAACAAGCAAAATTTCACGGGGGATAGTTGAGGGTTGTTTGTTTTGTTTTGTACCAGGGATCAGACTCTGAACCTTGTGCTTTCAAGGCAGGTGTGGCACCACTGAGCTAAATCCCTGGTCCTGTTTTGGTTTTTTGTTGGCCATCAGGATTGTAATTGCTACCATTTTTCTCTAAAGACATGTTTATGTTTAGTTTTTGTTTTGGAAATTTGCAGGTCAAAGCATGACACACTTTTATTTTCCTTGTGCAGTTTGGGTGCATGAGTTACATTCACATAGAATACACGGTCTCAGAATTGATGCAACATAAGTAGGTTACTTAGTCACTTACAAACTCATTTAAGCCTCACATAATACTATCATGAATAGTTTTGTTAAAATTTTGGATGTACGAAGTAGAGCATAAACCCAAGTAGCCTTGAACTTGCAGACTTGACATAAGTTCTCCACAAAGTGTGAAGAGAGCCCTAGATACTCTTAATTGGTTAGTGGGACAGCTTGACTATCAGGCATTGTTTTCTGTAGTGCAGGGTATCGAAAAGTAAAGAGAAGCTTTTGTATTTTTATTCCATTGTTTTCAGCTCAATAAACCTAGAATTGTCTTCATCTGCACCTGAAATGTATGGCACAAGTTTGTGTTTTTTTTAAGAATTCATGGAACAAGGTGCCTACAGTTAAAAGAATGTTTCAGTTCCCTTCAGTCATTCCTGGGATTTTTGTTGTTGTTGTTGTTGTTGTTGTTGTTGTTTTGAGGAGGTTGAAGGAGGATGAAGTAATATAGAAGAATGCAACACCATTGTTTTTTTTTAAAGAAGTATTTTATATATATATGTATATGTGTGTGTGTGTGCGTGCATTCAGTGTAATATTTTGTCATGACCCTAATCTCTTCTTTCCACCAAAGTTTGCAGTAATATTCTCTCCTGAAGGTGCACTCTAGCTCCTTTAAATTAGTCAGTGTTATATTATAGGAGACTGTCATGGAGAAAAGGACTCAGTTTACTTTTGCCATTTTCACAGGGGAACCTTTTAAAACAACCTTTTCAGCAGCAGACACCTTTAACCCTAATAATCTCAGGCCTTGATGAAAATACTATATTTTGTAGATTATGGTTAAAGGGAGAGAATTCATAGTTCCGTAAGATAAATATGAGCTCCATTTAACTTCTGATATCTGGTTTAACATTACATGGTATGTTGATCTTACGCTGTGCTTTTGTCCAAATAAGATGCAATAGTATCACTATCAATTTCAGAAAGATGGACTGAGTATGCTTTTTTTGGTGATGAAATCTGATGTATGATATTTATAGTGATGTGCTTTTATTTTCTCATGAGAAACTAAATATTGTGTTGTACATTTGTTCTTAGCATATATTAAAAGTTTTGAACCAAATGTGTTAAAGCTTATGCTTTGCCATGTAAATTTCCCAGAAGTTGTTGAGCTCAAATGTATCCTACATTCAGCTGTAGAAATTTGTCAGAAATTGTTTAAATTTTGTATATAGTTGTACTGTTTAATTTTAGCCACTGCGCTGAACAGTATTTGAGTTATCATACAATATGGCTTTACACAAGGAAAGTGTGGCTTCTGTTTTGTATTTTTTCAGTATAGAAGTTCCTGTGTCTTATTTAAATAAAGTTATTAGTAAAACTGGAAGAGTTTACGTATGTTTGTGGACTGACTGGGGTATTGGCATATTACTCAACATAGATGTCTACTCCGCCTAACGACAGTGTTTGGTCTCCATGAGCTCCTCCTGGCCTGCATCTCTAACACTGAGGGGTGTCTAACTGGGTCAGATGTCTCCACCTTGGTTTCCTCTTGACATTTAATTTGCACACTTTCTGTCACAAGGTAAGAAGCTAGATATCTAGAATTCCAAGTCTTTGTACTGCTCCCAGCTATGAGTATCTTAAATAGAGAAAACAGTGTTCCTGTATCATCACTTTAAGAATTTATAGAAATAAGTTTAAATTCCATGAAATAACGTCGAAGTTGCATATGACCTGCAAGAATGCTACAGCAATAAAATTTAATTTTTTTACCCTTTTATTAGATTCAAAGTAAGAAAAGGGAGAAAAGCATCATAAAACAAAGGGTTGATGTTAGACCTGATACCTGTGAGAAACAACTTACTAACAGTATTCATTTCTGAAGCACATCTAATCAGAGATAAGATTTGGCCTTTAAATTCAACTTTAAAATGATTAATAGCTGTATTTTGGGGTGAGATCAATCAAGTGAAAGTTTTTAAGAGTGAAATTTACCAGTTATCTACCGGATGATAATACACAATTTAGGAAATTACCTTACACAATTTAAAAATTCCATTGCAAGTGAAGGAAAGTAGAATTTTCACCCTTGTGCTTGACATGGCTACAGATTTAATATAAGTGGCTTGGAGAAAAAAGTCAATGTTTACAAAATCAAACTTGAGGGATGAGGAGGGGAAAATTAGACCCAAGAACTTATATATTCCAACCTTATGGTGACACCTGAAAATCACCTGAAGTATATTTATGAATATTGCAAACCAAATATCCGCCATCTCCCATCTCACCCAGTGCAGTGCCATCTAGCCCTGAAGTTTCATCGAATCCTAGCTAGTCTGTGGGCAGTTTCTACTGGGTACCCTCTCTTTGGTACTCAGAAGTCTTATATTTTCTTTTTACTACACTCTTCTGGTGATCTGAGGCTTCTTTGGAGCTGAGGAGCTTTATGAAAATGGATTGCTTAATTTATACCTTGATTCGAATTTGCAGTGCTGTAGCCAGGCTTCACAGTTCCAGTTGTAAAAAGCACCACCTCATAAGACTTTTTGTCTAATGTCAACTGCAGTAATTAATTAGTATGAAGACACTGTCTTGCCCCTTGTAGCAGGCCAGCTGTCCTCCTATACACAACTATTTTTATTTCCCAAGACGAGGACTGTCTATGGCCTGGTGTTTTCTTCACCTAAATCTCACGTTCGCCTTCAGTCTTGTTATCTTACCACTAAATTTCATATTGCAGAGACATGGGGATAGTCCAGAAAGCCATGCCATCTAGGTAAATTTCTTTGAGCTAAGAAGCATGATAAGATTAAATCACTGAGCGTGCTAGATTTCCAATAACTTCAATAGCTGTATATCAGAGGTCAACCAACTACTGCCTATGGACCAAACTCAGCCTGTTGTCGACTTTTGTAAACAAAATTTTACTGGAACAAAACTACATGTGTTTATTGCCTATAGCTCATCTGCAGTACAAGGACAGAGTTGAATAACTGTGAAGGATCTGACCCATGGTGCGTCAAATATTTATTATCTGATTCTTTACAGAAAAGAAAGTTTGCTGACCTCTGCTGTAGACTAAAGCACAGCCTAGAAACTAGGTGTAGGAAGCTTGTATCATACATGTAAGTGTTTTTGAGACTAGAGAATTCAAATGGTTACACGAGAGTGTGTCCCCTGAAGTAGGAAGGGAGATGTGAGTGGGGATGTTTTTCTCCCCTAGGACTGATTCTGAAACTGTGGTAGCAGCTGCTGGATTCTGCTATCACTTGGAAAGCACATTGCAGGCAGCTCTCAACTGGCTGATCATGAGCTGCTCAACATCCTATTTGGAAGAATGTCTTTTGATGTAAATTTAGAGGTAGAAACTAATCAGCCTGGTGAGCTGAAGAACTGAACAGTGGTGAAAGCCGCTATGTCTGGGTTTCTACTGACATAAACAGTAATCCATGATCTGGCTGGCCACACAAGTAGAGGGACAGTGGAAACTTGGCTTTTTAAAGGGATACCTGTGTAGGGCACATTTAAGTAGCACATGTTAATGCCCATCGAGAGAACTCCCAGGTTCACAAGGTAATGAATTGACAAGCAAATACCCCCAGGTCTACTTGACATGGCCACATGGGTTCATTAAATGAGTGGACACAGCAAGTAATTCAGAGGTGGACTGAATCTAGATATACTCCTCTTGCACCCTTGAGGCACAAAATACCAACAAGATCTCTCTGCCAGCAAAGAGATCAAGACTGCAGAGGGCTGTGGGGCAGCTTCTCTGTGAAGGGCCCTGCCCATAGCTGGCAAGTGAGACATGCTGGTGGCACAGGGGAAGGGGTCCTCACAGGAATAATCATCCTGGCCTGGCCTTCTCTGAGCCAATTAAAGAGCCGAGTACTCAGAACAACCAGAACAGAAGATATTGGAGGGGCCTGTGTAGCCAATCCTCATTTCCTCAAACCAAAGAACACACCATACCGCCCAGGGTCCACCAATGGGCAGAGATATCCCAGGGCAGCAATGTGATAGAGAAGTGGAAGACCCGCTGTCTAGAGCAGGTGAGATGCAGGCATAAGGGCTGGTGTCCTTGCTTTCACAAAGGTGCTCACCCTTGGCGCAAATGGGACAAAAGGAGTCCCATGAGAGGTTTTCCTGTTTTTCTAGTGCGTTTGGGGAAAGATGGTGAAGGATCCTGGTATACTATGGTACTTTCTTTCACATCATCTGAAAAAAAACATTCCCTACAAGTGCTGTAAGTAGGAATTTGATTTCTTAGTAAGAAACAATGTTTTTAAACCTTATGTCACAATTGCTACTGGCCTGATGGGGGGGTTATGCCTTCCTTCTATCTGGCAAAATTTGGGTTAGCAGTGAGTGCAGCTGTATTACATGGAGGCAAAAGCAGCCCACTGGTCCTGCACCATGTAACCTTGCTCTGTCTGAATGGAAGTGGACTGAGAGGGAGACATCTGCTAGACTAGTATTGCTGCCTGCCATCTAGACCAGCACAGTGGCTGAACCCAGTATCTTTTCCTAAGATTGGTAATGGAAGGAGGGAGGAATAAATAGTCACTAGGGATAACGATAAATAAATGGGTTATGAATTGAGGGAGATTCAGTATTACATTAACACTCCAATAAAAGCCCAGAGCAAGGGATGCCATTGTCTCTTTATTAGATCACATGATTGAAAGGGTGAAGCTACTTACTTGCTGAGACTACTGGTGCTTTTGGGAAGCCTGAAAACCTGAGTGGCTTCACCATAGGAGATATATTCTTTCAATAGGATGAATAGGCTAATCGTTAATGACTGATAGGGATTCGAATAATGTGATGGCGTCTTTTGAGTTGTATATCCATTTGATGTAAGGAATCTGTGTTCAAAAACCGGGGTGGGGGGGTCATCTATGATGTGATAGATACTTTTTGGTTTATGTTCGTGGTTCCTGGCTCACAACTCCCTTCCTAAGGCAGGCCACGGAAACTAGAATTTCTCTTTCCCAAGGGGGGTTATACAAACTCAAGGAGGTGGCCATAAAGAGATTCTATGCCCAACAGAAGGTCACAAGACCCTCCTCTTCCCAGAGATTTCCTGCCCTGTTCCCTGGAGGAAGAATGCTGTACAGAGAGGCTGAGAAGAATCTAAACAGGCAGGCCTTCCCTGACTTTCCTCATCCAGACTGTTTATTTAAAATCATGTCCATGCAGTGACATCTCCATACAACCCAAAAGGACAGTGTCTGAAGAGCTTCCAGGTCGCTGAGCATGCAGAGTTTTCTGGAGGGTGGGATGCCTCACCTCTTCATCCATACCTTGCCCTATGCATCTTCATCTGTGTCCTTTGTAATATCTGTCATAACAAACTGTAAATTTAAGTGTTAAATAATTCTTTGATACTCCTCTTCAAGAGGTTGAGCTTGATTTTCCTCATCATACGTGTGGGATAGATTTGCTTCTATGAAAAGAGAATGGCCACACTGATGGGATGTCAGTTCTGAGATAAGGGTATAAAAAGACTGGCTTTGTCTTCTCTGTGCTTGCTTTCTTGGGGGAAACCCTTGACTTCACTGAACCTTAAGTCAGAACCACCAGCTAAATTGCTCATGGGTTTGTGAAACTGTGAAATAGTACATTTATTGTTTAAAGGTGCTAAGTTTGAGGGTAATTTGTTACATAGGATCAGAGAACTAATTTAGTATAGCAGCTACTGGCCCCTCCACACACATAAACCCACTATTAACATTACCAACAGTCTTTATGTAATTCTGTTCTCTGGGTCAAGAAAAGGAGGCTTGCTTTTTCAGAATGGAAACTTGAAAGAAGCCCTTTTGGACTAGGTCCAAGACAAAACTTTCTCATACAAACATTTTTTTATTTGAATAGCTCACATGATATTAAATCTCTACTGTGTGTGCCTAAAAGTTCACTTGTCTAACATGAAACCACCTCAGAGAAGTCAATGGGAGGAAAGAATTAAAACTTTTGAGGAAAAGAATTTCCCATGGGAAATGATACTAGCAATGGTGGGATTGGTGGTCAGTTTTTAAAACTGAAAAAGAAAGAAGGCAGAATTTCTCAAGAAAGTGAGAAATATTTTTATATTGAACATCTTGTTTGTTTTCCTTTAGTTAACAGGAAGCTGATGACCTACTACTGGTTCTAAAATGGCCTATCCCATTCCATAGGCATTTGAACCTCTCAAAGCAATAACATAAATGTTTTTAAAGTTTTCAGATCAGTTTGGTGATGGTCTGTCTCATCCATAACAGCTATTTCTTAAGCACTAATAATTTGGACAATTAGATCATTTTTCCTCCCAAAGAGTTTCTGATAACAAGGAATGGGTCTCCTTTCACACGACAGTTTTTACTCAAGTCTTGGCATCTGATT